ATTATGCTGCTGTGCTTTCGTCCAACAACGCTGGCAGAGAGGAACTTTTGTTTTGGTCTGGGATGTAAACAGGTTCACTCTGGGAAACGGCATCCTGTCCTGCTGCCGGTTTTGCCATCGTGTGGAGCTGCACGCAAACAACCCCCAGTGAGTGCTGTTCAGGGGACGGTGAGAATGGCCGCGCTGAGAGGTGGACAGAAATACAAGCTGATGGTGGTGGTTGGGAGACCATTAATCTCACTATGACAGCAGGGCCATTAAGAAACTGCACTGAAGCAGCAACGCAGGGCATCCGTGTGGGTGTGTGTGTGTGTGTGTGTGTGTGTGTGTGTGTGTGTGTGTGTGTGTGTGTGTGTGTGTGTGTGTGTCTGTGTGTGTCTGTGTGTGTGTGTGTGTATGTTAAAAATAGAGAGAGGGATATGCAGAGTAACTTCAATAAATATTTGTGACATATTGTGATATATGTGTTTGATATGTGTCACAGGTGTACAGATATTTATATTTGCAAACTGAAAAGATTTGATACAGCTTGTTTCAGCTGACTGCCCTTGACTTGAGTGTGTGGGTGACTGGCTGCTGTCCACAGGGTGAGTCGACTGCATGACAAGTGTCTGTGAAGCTGTGACACTGTGTAGGAGCAGGGAGAACTCGCAACTCACAAACATTTCTCTGTACATTCAGGATGATGGGGGGAAAAAACTTTTTATCCAGAGTTATTCAGGCATGTTTTCTTTCCTAGATAACTAATAACTACACCAGCTAACAACAATAAAATCATCCTTGAAAGTTTGCTGGATAGTGTGCGGCGTCTGCTAAAGCTTGACAAAATGATTATATAAAAGTGAGAATGTGAGAACTCTAGAGCATTTTAAAGCAAGGATGAATAGTTAAATATAAAACTCCTGTATGAATATCAAAAAAGGTTCCATTTGACAATAATATGCTCTTTTAATACAAGCTGTTGCTGTTTTTGAGGAATTTCACTTCCAAGTTTGTTTTTTCTATTATTGTGTATTACTAAAGTAGCAAAGAATCTAATGTTTTTGTTCTTTTATCATTCTGATAATGCTAATTATCTACACTTAATGCATTTCATTTACTGCATCCGCTACATAGCTGTGTACTACGGTAAAACATTAGCACACACACCTGACCTAACTAAATGATTTGAAGAGGGTGATTTTTGTTTGCTATCATACCTGTGATTAATTGGCCAAGTGACATAAGACATTTTGGACTATGTTTTACTAAGGGTTAGATGAGTTAATATCAGTTTCATCTCTGTGATTTCAACAGAGAGACAGCTCTGTGATGTGTTTAGTCTAGCTCATCGCAAAAACCGGAGGAAATATTAAACCTGGCTCCATCTATGGTCGATTCCAACAACTCCAAAGCTGCCTGATGCACATGTTTGTTTTTAACATGTATAAAAAAAGAAGAAAATGATACATGCAGTTTAGGCACTGTAGCTACTTATTGACCAAAAGCTGATCCAAGAAGTCGCATGCAACATTTCACTCTATCCTGGTTGGGGACGTCTTGTGTAATGGTTGTTTTTAAATTCCAAACAGACTGATCTGATAAATGAAATGATGTCATTTGGCTTTTCCTGCTCAGTGGATCATATTTACAGAAATTCAAAGTCACTGCATTTTTTTGTCCTGCCAATTGGCAGAAGTTAGTTTAAATAATCCATCCAATAGTGCAAAAATATTTTTGAGTTTTAGGTCGTGAGTAATGAGAAGTGGATGTAGCGGGTCCCACTGCAGTGTGTGTGAGTGTTAAAGATGTGTTTTAATCACTTCAACTGCTGGAGAGTGTGTTTGCCCTCTGGGTGGAGCGCAGTGCTCCCAGCAACCTGGAGGTATGAAGGCACTTCAGCAAAGTATGTGATGAAATTTTGAAAACAATGACTCATCATTATGGCGAAAGCTCGAGGAAAGGGCGCTATTTTTATTTATTCATTTATTTTTATAGTGTGGCGACTGAGATGAGCACGGAGAGAGAGGGAGCAGTTGGACAGGTAGAGAGAGGAGAGAGGATGAGGAGGTGATATGGTCAGAAGTGAAGAGGTAGCTTAAAGAAGAAAGAAAAAAAAAAAAGAAAAAGAGAAAGGTCCAGAGATTGGCTGCAATAGAATTCAGACTGCGTCGCGTAGCTGTTGTGCTCAGAATGTGATTCTAAATGTGGTAAATCTATTTGCATGATTTCACAGTTATGAGTCGGTCGTATTTATCAATATGTAAAATCTTCTTGGATAGCTCCGTCACATGCAGGAGGGCTGGACCTAAGCAAAGCTATCAGGAAGTGGAAAAAAACAAAACAATCTAGCCCACTGACAAAGTCTAGCATATATAACAGCAGCAGTATGGGGCGTGAATAAAATGACAAGCAGATGTATGTGAACCGTATGGCAACAATGATGTATTCTTAGTGAGGATGAGCTCCAGAGCGAGCGAGTGACACAGAAAGCTAAAGTTGCTGCAGCCAGTTTGTCTTCTGGGTTTGTTTTTCCATCTCCAGTCCTTCTTTGGTTACTCTCTCCATCTGACCGTTAATAGCGTGCATGACAGAGAAACAGTGATGTTATTTGTGTGACTAAATAACAGTTCTACCCGAGAGAGACGTGCAAGAGAATGTTCTACGCAGCAGGAAGGAATGTGAGGCTCTTCTGACTCGCTGCTGCGCATATTTTACAACTGAAACTATTTTTTCTATCTCTGTATTTCTGATGGTGACCAGAGGGTTGTTAAAAGACAAGGCTGGCACTACTCTATATTATTTACTTGTCTATTCATCCCGTGAAAAGAACAAAAGCAACAATGAATTGATCTTACTAACAAGTATTGTGTGTTTGAGCTTTTTAAAAAATGAAATTATATATTTGTGACACATCTTTAAAGATTTACATCTTCAGTGGGAACCAATGAGCTCAGGGCTGAGTTCAACACACAGAGTGAAGCACAGAGACAGAATAATGCAGTGATGGTTTCAGTCTTTTTCCTGAGATTTGTTGTCAATGGGACTGCACTACTCTTTTTAGGCGCTGAGACTTCAACACTGTATTTGTCGACTGAAGAGTCATCAACAGCAATTCTGATAAGTAATTAATGACTTCAGAAACTCATTAGCTAAACATTTGCTGGCTTCAGTTATTCCAGTTCATTCTCATTATTCAGTTATTATTTACATAATTGCAGATTGAATATCTTTTAAGTTTTGGGCTACTGGGTGGACTTCTCTGCGTAGTTTTGATGTTCATTTTTCATTATTTTATGACATTGTATGGATCAAACAATTGACTGAGTTGAAAATCTGGATCTTTTGGAACTTGCTTTCTTACTCACAAGGGGCATAGAACATGACCAAGGCTGCGGGATGTTCCTCCAGGAAGCTGTCAAAGGACTCATCGGTCAGGTGGAAGACTGGGGAATCTGTCTCTGCCCACGGCACCTCAGGGGTCTTCGGCTGGGGGGGCTGAGGGCTGAAACAGGAAGTGGAGACAGAAAAGGCAACAGAGGTGAGGGACATTTAAAAAAAAAAAAAAAAGCAAAACAAAATTCCAGCTGGTGTGCAATTTGTGCAGAGCAAGAATCAGACACAGCTGTAACTCACACTCCACCCAACATGTCATTCACACACACACACACTCACACACACACACATCTGGACCGAAGCAGCCACGCCTTGATGACAGAGCACAGTGATGCAACGCCAAGACACAGATATAAACAAGTACACACTCCCTGAACTTGTGTACATATACACACGTCATTTAAAACGAGATACACGCACCCTCCTTCTGCAAACCTTTTTTTCATCTTCACACACTCTGGCCTGAGCCAACATGCTGAAGAGGAACATGCATGAGACTGGAGATCGTTTAAAAACACCAGAAACATGCAACTGGTGAGCGAAGAAATGCTGCACCTCCTCCAAATATTCATCTTTTATCCAGAATGTCATCTGTCTAATATTTACTGTATCGCTCTCTATTTCTATCTGTATCTGTATCTACATAAAAAGCTCAGGATGAGGGTTTATCAGGGACTGAAGCCACACTTTGGCCTTATCAGATGACATCTTTGGTTGCTCTTCTGCAGCATGAGGTGCAGTTTCTCCTCCTGCCACTATGCAACCACACCACTTTGCTCAACTCCATTATTGGCGTAACACTGCTGCAGAGGGCTGATATGATCATCATAGATCCTGACCCTTCCCTGTACTTATTGCCATCAAACTAGATTTAGTTATAATGTGCAACACAGAAAAGCAAAGGAGCAAAGTATTTCAATAGTGTGGTTTGAGAGTAGCTGTCAGATCCTGACCTCTATTGTTCCTGTTTGCATAGAAAAAAAAGAATGATTCAGGTCGGTGAAAAAGGGTGAGCCATGTGAAGCCGAGTGGGGAATCAAAAAACTGAGACAGCTGAATCTGAACATAAGAGAAACTTCATCAAAACTTGGGAGGCAAAATAGGGCTGATGAAAGAGATGGAGATAAAAAATCGGAGACAGAGAGTGCTACAAAAAGAGCACCATGGACACGATGTCTAATTACGAACGCAGAAAATCAGACTATTCCGAAAAAACCTTTCAACACCGTTTACTTCAAAAAACCCTTTTCAGCTTTCTTCCCCATCTGTAGCATCTCCAGATGAAAAAAGCCTCTGAGATGACAAACTGCAGATGTGATGAGGCTTGCGGGAGGCCAGTCTTCTATCTTTTTTTTTTACCATAGGGAACATATTTATGTGCATATCAACAATATAAATTCAACAGTCTAGGGTCAGTCTGTTCATGTAAAATTATTTTTTGTTTTGTGCCAGAAAGAGGGGGAGGAACAGCTCAAATACAAGAGAAATGAATGTTTGTGAAATCCAATTTCACCACTGTTTATCACCTTTTTTAAAAAATAAAACTGAAATCTGAGGTGTAATTATGCTTAGCATTATCACTCAATTTTAAACATGTAATCATTCTGTCAATTTGATTGCCTAATTGCCAGCCATGCAACCACTTTTAAATTATACTGCTGGACCCTGAATGAGCAGAGTACTAACAGCTTAGGACTGGGGAGGGAGTTGTTATGCCTCTGGGCTAAAGAGAGTGCTGGAATACATCCTCTGCCTGTCTCGCTCCGCTTCCTGCGATAGCTGTGAAAGCCCTGCTCTGTGCCCTCTGGCTGCAACCCTGTGGACAGTCATGGCTTTCCTGCCAGGCCCTTAACACGAGTGGAAAAGGGGGGTGGAGGAAAATGGGAAAGAGGATGGCCAAGCTGAGGAGGGAGCCGGGGAGTTGCGGGCAGAGGGAGTGAGCCAAGGTGAGAAAGAAAAATGAGACAAGAACTGAGGAGGTGCAGATTGATGACGCTGAGCCAAGGTGAGTCAGGGTGAGGAGAGGTGTGATGAAGACTACAGCAGAAGGAAAAGGTGATGCCAGACTTTTAAGGTGAGATGTACAGGAAGTTTACTTATTGTCTCAGACAGAAGGCAGAATGTTGGTTTGTTTCATCAGCTAAAATATAAACAGCTTTGGACACAAACATCATGAATTCATTACTTGTTAAATGAATGTCAAGAGGGTGAAAGTGACTAGGACAACACTCACTTTTTCATCCAGTCAGCGATATCCTTGGCTGCAGCTCCGTAGTTTTCATAGTGGTGAAGGAACTTCCCCTTCCTGAAAGACAACAGAGCAAGAACAAGATGATCTATAAACCATCTGTCAGCAGTGGGCACAATTATGGCTGCCAATATTGATGACTGATTATATTTGTACATTTTTATTTAAAAGGATGACGCCACTGAAAATCCTCCTGATGAGTTAGGTTAGTCATGAACTCACTATCTGCAGGATTGAAATGTGGATCTGATAAGTTTGTCACAGTTTGACAGCAGCAGATACAGAGAGCGTACACATTTCCCAAACAACTCGTGGAGCATAACACACTCCTAAACTGAGCCATGTTATGTGTGTTCAGTGTGTTTCAGCTCTTCCAGCTGAGATCTGGAACTCTGAGGAGGCAAGACTGCAGCATGAAAGCAATACAAGCAGCCTATAGAATGATTTATTGCTAAAGAACATTTGTTTCGAGCCTTGTCAACATAAGGACCAACAGCAGAGGAGTGAATAATGCTGCGAGAGTGGTTTGTGCTTTCTGTGGATGTTTTTTCACCATGAAACTGAGTCACAGTTGGAATCCAGTGTTGTCCACTATTGTTAATCAAAGCTGTCCTCTCAAGAACTTACAAGCTGACAGAGGGTGTATAAATACAATTTTATTCTAAAAAAAATAAATTTTCAGTACTCCTTAAAAAAAAAAAAAATCCAACAGTGTCTATTGTTATATTAATAAAAAGTGTAAGGATTTAGAATCAGAACGGATGTGATCAAAACATAAACAGGAAGAAGAATCTGACCAAGGATTCCATGACAACTTTCAGTGCTTTACACTTTTTGTTACTTGATGTAGTGAAGTTTGATTTCTCATCACATCCTGCAGGACTGACACTGAAGAAACCCAGTAATCCAGGTCATGTGTGATGGACAAAAAGACAGGATCCTAAAAACAATGACAGCAAACATAATATAACCCAGTTTCTAAGACAAAGAGCTGGGTCAGACCTGTGAGAAATAGAACAGCTCTAAACCAAAGAGAAATGTTTTAAAAAGACTGACAGAAGTTCAGCAGTGATTGATACTCCGTCCTCTGTCTTGCGTTTGTATGTCTAGCTTAAACATACTCTACATATAAGAAATGCCAGTAAGCCGTCGTAATGCATTTGAAATGAGCTGGAAGCATCCTCGCAGCTTTACGGGCTGAAAAAAAAAAATGTAAGCAGATTATTCTTCATAGGAATGACTTTATCTTCTCTATTCGCTGTGACTAAATGAAGGCTGGAAAGCGGATGTGGTGGCTCAGCCCACTGCCGAAGAATCAGTGTCAGTAGTAACTGGCTCTGGGCAGTGTGGATCTGCAAATACAAAGGGTGAGGACGACCACAGTCACAGCTCCCGAGATACAGAACGGACACTGTTAAAGGTGATACACGATTACACACACTGGATTTTGGAGCTTAAAACTTGCATTTTAAGTGAACTGACTACTGTGGCGGAGATGGCTGCTTGGAATTCAATCAGTGAGATTTATGACCAACTCTATATTCGCTTGCTTTATCTCTGCTGCTGTAAAGTACACCCACACCTTGTAAAAATCAAGCTGAGGAAATGTGAAATAAATGTCATTTGCCCGATGCTTTCGAGTGTTTTTCTTTACTCAAGGACACTGCAAAGACATAGAAGCTGAAACAGTTTCACTTTTATTGTTTATTTAACTGATAGAAAGCCGAGTTGTGCTGCTGTGTTGAGTAGTAAGGTTTCTTAATCTGTAGGACAGGAAAGGTAAAAGACCTTGAACACTTGGTCTTAAAGCGGGTGCAACGGCAAGATAACTCCAGTGGTGTTGATGCCGATTTACCCTGCAGTGATTAGCTGCTGTTTATCAGTGAGAGGCTCATTACTGAAGCCAATGGGCTCGGATGGTCGTTAGCTAGCCCTGCGCTGACACTAATGTGCTCCTGGCTAACAGGCTGGCTCCGGCTCAGCTACACATGAGTGCAGGGGCACGCGCGTGTAAACCACGTTCACACAATACACACACACGCTCACGTACACAAGAAAGAAGTGCACCCACACTGGCGAACCACAGAGGCACTTAATCAGTCCCGGTCTAATTAAAAGGCCAGACTGGAATGAGAGAGTGTTTAATGTGAAAATGGGGTTGATAAAGCTGCTGCAGGAGGAATAAGAAGCGGCCAACAGAGCGGGAGCTGCACAGCACCAGCACAGTTAACTACACTGTACATATAAGGACAGTAAGGGGGTGCTCTGGTTGCATTTACAGACACTGTCAGTCAACACACTCGTAGCCACATGCACACTAGGGGCTACAAGCTTTGACTGTGTGTGTGTGTGTGTGTGTGTGTGTGAGAAAGAGTCTTTATGCATATTTAGACACTAAACTTAAATGATCAGATTATCAACAGCATAAAATTCCTCCAAACTCTAAAAGAACAAAAAAAAAAAACAATCAGAGGCCAAGTGCTAAATCACTGTCACCTGCGGCCTGAAGGGTGTTCTTGAAGATGAAAAAAAACTTTGATACAATAAATTAAAAACCTTTACTTAGTCTGACACATTAATAATTAAAACCGCTGACTCATTATGAGTCTTCAGGCAGACAACAGCTCTGTGTCGAAATTGCGCATTTTGTCCAAGCAAAACTCCAAAGCCGTCAGTTTACCTTCACAAGAGGCCGGAACAAGGGACTGTTTCGACATTTTTGTTTGAAAAATGACTTGAATGATGAATCAATTATGATAATAGTTGCTGATTAATATTTTGTCAATGAACTAATCAATAGAAGATGATATCGTTTTTAGCTCTTCACTTCTTCACTTCATCACCAACCACTCAGCACCACCTGTGTATGTCTGTCTCGCTCCTCTGACGATGGCACCCAGCATCCTTGACCCTCCTTGACCCTCCCTCCCTCCTCTGAGTTTACTTTGTTTCAAAGGGAACACCAGAAGATCCTAAAGCTTGTCAGAAACTTTCTACTTTCCACCTGCTTCCATCAAGTCTGCTGGTGTTTAAGAGGCCTGGACTGCACTTTCTGTTTGAAGTGGCCCTACTCTCATGTTCTGAGCCTTAGAAGTGAGGAATGAGCCTAAAGTGAGACGGATGAGAGGACTCGACTCACTCAAAGTAGCAGAAGGTCGGGTAGCCTTTGACGTTGTACTCCTGCTTGAGGCCGTCAAACTCAGCCGGGTGCACATTCATTCCTGCCAGTACCTTAAGACAACAAAATAAAGGGGAAAAGAGGCATGAGTTGTCGGGAAGGTAAAGGAAAGTGAAGGCTGAGAGACAACAAAGAGGAAGGACATCAGAACGGGTTAGTCATCATCAAAGTGCTCCAGAGTAAAAAGATGGATTACTCAAAGCATGAGAAGAGACTGCACCGTGAAACATAGATATAATGAATGCAGATGAACAGACTGTATTCAAACACTCACTTTTTGTGATCAACTTGTTAGTGACATTTTAATTTAACAGACAGAACATGAGATATTCTTTTGTTTGAAATAAGTCAAACAACTGCAACTTCCCAGGTTCCCTCTGAGGAAATATTACAAGACCCTGTTCATAACATAAATAAATAGAAGCATGACCATGAGTCATGACAAGCTCTCTCCTCCTGTTTTAAGTCGACAGAGCACTTCAATAATATCAGATTCAAAGGTGCTTCACTGGCATGAGCATTTTATTAAAGTTTGAATATGATGTTAAGTATGTGTCACAATTGATATTTAAAGATAATAGTGAATAAACCCAAAAAACACAAATGATACAATCAAAGCAAAGCAAACCAAGAAAATCATCTTTACACCTTCTTGTGTCCGTGTCACAAGTTCACAGCCTGGCTCAGTGACCACCAACTCAGTATTCAAACCCTTCACTTCTCAGCAGCACTATTAATCTGCTGCAATAACAGGCACACTCCAAAAAAAACCTATAAAAAAAACACATAAATCCCTCTATTTCATCACTCATAAGCACCGCCTAATAATCAAACACACATGCAGTTAATTATCTTCTCATTCATTTCCAGCTTCATGTGAGGCAAACGTGACGACGTGCTGCTCTGTATCACCATCTCCTCAGGCCGCTGCCTCTCTCTGCTCTCGCTGTACAGGAGGTTCACTCTCAGACCTCTCCCGGTGCTTCAGAGGAAGTGTTTATGAACACAAAAGATTCGTTTCCCTCGATGATCGCATCGGCCCGCGGTTGATTTTTGTGCGTACGTGCCTCTCTATAGTGCTGTTAAAAACCATTTCAACAGCTGGGAACAGAGCAACCCCCCTCACCATCCACCCTCTCACCAAGTTTGGTTTGTAATTCTGTCTGTCTGCAAACTAACAGCATGGGTCTTTGGGGAACCCATGAGACCAGGGAGGGGAAGAGAATGGGATGAAAACAGGAAAAGTTGGGGAGTAAACACAAAGACTGGGCAGACTAAACTGACATTTAATCTATAGAGAGGTTGTAAACTTCAGCTGGAAGGACATTTAATTGTGGCTGTAGGTGCCCGGTGGTGAAAACCAAGTAAGAAACACATTTAATATAGTCACTGATTATAGATCTGTACAATACTATAAAGCACTCTAATCATTAAAACTGTGAGACAGATCTTTCTGGGCAAGGTTGGTGGGATTTTGACTGACCTTCTGTAATTGCTCTGGTGTGTTGAGGACAACCAAAACCCAGATAAAGTATAAATCAAGTCCAGCACAATGTGCATCAGGGCTTCAGAGGTGCCTTTAAAGGCCATCTGAGTTATGATGATGCTGAATCAAAACCTATGGCGTAAAAGTTGCTGAGGTATTCTACTTCTGAGAAGTTCTGTAGAAAATACAACCAAGGATAGCTTTCATTTAGGTCAGGCTGACAGACTGTACACTTGCAGATTGCCAAGGTAACCATCCAGGCATTCACACTGCTGACACATCTCATCTAATCTGCAAACATCAGAGAAGGGCGGCAGCAGATCAGAGGCGGTTCACGCAGTAGGACAGTTGACCAAGTGTGCAGGGAAAAGACTCATCAGCACACTTACATATTTTCCTTTTGTCTCCGTGGCCGCTTGCTGAAAGACAGGCTGCATTCTCTTGCATACGCCGCACCCTGCAACCGAAAACACAAAACAGACCACCACAAGTTATTACAGAGGACTCAATAGTAACCAACACTCTGACAGCATCGATATGACAGTTAAAAGATTTCCCATCATCTGCCAGGGGAATTGGTTTTTCTGCCAATAGCAGCTTGCAGTGTGCTATCTGCTGTGAAAGATATGATGCACTGAAAACCTCTGACCATAATAACCGAGCACAACACATGGAGAAGCTGGAGCAAAGTAATGTATTTACTATTGAGCGACAATAGTAGACAAGACAATCAACTCCTCCACAGATGAAAACATGACTGTTGAAGTCGTGTTGTTGAAACAATCAGTGGGTTGGGCTTTTAGCCAATCAACAGAATTTAAGTGTTTTATTAATCAGTCAATTGTTTAAGTCATGTAATGCAAAAAAAAAAAAAGTCAAGTACTCAACTACAAGCTCTGAGAACAGGTGACAGCAGCGGCAATTTTAACTGTTTACTCACAAAATTAACAGTTAATTGAAAATAATATTGAGAGATTGATCAGAATAAAAACACTCATTAGCAGTAGTCCTATTACTGATTATAAAAATTATATTAGTATATTAGATTATATTCAAAGATCAGAAAGTGAGTTGCCAGGTATGACGAATGTTGAAAAACTCATCCCAGTATTGACTAAGACAGTGCAATATTGCCAAGTATAGCCCAGTTTATTGATCTAGTCCACATACTCCACCTTTCTTCAAATGAGGCAGCTCATGTGGTTAAGTTAATTGCATATTTTCTGGACGATAATATCTGCTGTCAGTTTCTCCTGCCGCACTGTCTACCCATCACAACATGTTGAAGCAGCAGGTTTGAGCCACTGAACACAGAGATAGTGAAAAGACTCACAGGGAGCGTAGAACATCATGAGGATCGGCCTCTCCTCTTTCTTCAGCAGCTTCCTGAAGTCATTAAAAAGAGTGAGTGAGAGAAAGAGAGAGAGAGCGCGGGTAAGAAGATGATTACGAGGATTTATTATTTATAAACAAAATGTATTTTCAGTTCATGAAATTGATGATAAATGTGTCCAAGAAACGTGACTTATATTGACTCAAGCTCAGTGACAACGACGACTACAACAGGTTGATTCCTCTGATGACTTGCTTCAGGGTATTGTCTCTCTGATTAGCATTCAGAGCTTTAAAGTAACTAAGCACACCTCCATCTTTGCTTCAGTAGTTGCTTCTCAGCAGTTTATTACACTGTGTGTAAGCCACGGAGTCATCACATCAGCAAAGAAAGAAAGAAAAAAAAAAAAGGACTTTCTTCTTAGGACAGCAGGTAGATAAGCCCCCATACCAGTTTCTCTTCCTCATCTCCACCTTCATGAGCTCAGCTACTTCCTAAAAAAAACACATTCAGCACAGTCTTTTGTTGACATGTTCAACAAGGCTCCAGGCTTGAGTGGATGGCCAGGACAGCTGTTCATTAAATAAAAAAGGCTTTCATAATGCAGTGTATCTGTGGGTGTCTTGGGTTGTCAGGCCGTGGGGTGAATGTGTTGAGGGTTTCATCTGACCTGGATGGACGAGAGCTGTCTCAAAATGTTTTCTGGGTTGTAAGGACAGGGCTTTGTTAGTAGACTTCATGAACTACGCAGTGCAGCTCTTTCATGATAAAGCCCTCATACAGTATGTTGCTTTCATATGCAGGCTTTTGTGTTGCAGAGGTGGACATGCTGCTGTGTCAGCTGCAGAAGCTGATCACACCCTCAATGGGACAGGAGAGGAGAGGCGGGAACCTGCATCACATTAACTGCTTTCTTCACCAGCTTGTAATCACAGTAACATGAACATCAACATTGCTCCGGATGCAGTGGCAGATTCTTTACAATTTATCCAAAAGGTTGCTTAGGTCACTACTTACTTTTTCTGTCTCTACGTGGACGACATCTTTTGCCTCAGGGTTCTCCTCCCACAGTGGGGGTCCCGAAGGGTCTTTCAAGAACGCTACCATAGACTGAATGGAGAAAAAAAACAAAAACAAAAGTGGGAATGATGAATCTTAAAACAGGGTAACACTTAGATCATGCTACAACGTGTCACTGGCACAAAATTATCCTGAGAACAATAGACTGACAGGTGATGATTTATGTAAGTGTTGCAGAAGTTGCTCCTGCAGGCAGCGCCAGATGGAAGCTCACATAGACCAACATGTTTGTGCATCTAAGAGGTGTCAGAGCTATTTCAGTACTTTTAAGTGTCTGGTAATGAGCTTGGTAAAGCTTCCTGTAAATATATTGAACCATATGTGCAGAGGCAACAGCGGGAAATATTTCATTCAGCAGCACCATAACAATGACAGTGTGGGCACAGGCAGAATATTTAATGACCATGATGTTATTGTGGGGATTACTGTAATGGTTTAAATGGAGACTTTCGCTGTTTCATTATTTCAGAGGCCTTTCCATCTGTCAGGGAAATAAATATCATAATAGAATAATAAAATCACACACGAAAAGAGCTACAGCTATCAAAGCTTATGATGGATTTTTCTTAAAACTCGGAGTAAAAACCAACAGAGGGAGTCACATTTAGACAATTTATAGATCATAAATTATGGCTCTTTCATTTTTATATCTAAATAAGATTTTTCAGAATTTCAAATCACAACACTGCTATTTCACATTACAATTTTCATATGTTAGGTGTCTTAGGGACAAAACACTAGAAAGAACGCTGTGTCACAGAATCAGAGCGAGTGCTGACACCACAGACAGACTTTTGGATCCCACTGTATGTAGCTTTTATCAAGAACTAGAATTACTACATTCAAATGACATGATTATTTATAAAAGATATATACAGTATATTAGGTAATATCATGTATAACTCTAAGACCTGCAATGTATATTTTTTTGGTCACTTGAGAGCTGAGGAAACAAGGTGAACACAACACTGATCACATTTTAGGCTTATATGGTTGATATGACAGTTGCTTATTTATACATTCAGAAGTTACAGAGAAAGCACTGATTTGTATATCTGGCCACCTATATGATACAGTGGTGAATGTAAGCTCACTCTATTACAGCTCTGGTTTTGATCTCCAAAACCAGAGCAATATCTTGCTGTGTCAGTCTGCCGTGTGGTGCAGAGTGGCTGCCTGTCGTGGCTGAAAGTGACGCAACGAGCAGCGAGAGTGAATCAGAATAGTAAAGGTGAGAGCTGGACAGCTAAACTATGAGCTGAAAATCACTACAAAGCTCTGTGAGGCTCATGATAGGGACAGATTCGAGTGATGTTTCTGTCCAAAGTTCATTGCTACAAGCAACTCCTTTCATATTGTAACATTACTGACAATTATTATAATAAAAATACTGATTATAGTGCCTTTAATTTACGTCCTTATGTCCTACTCTAACCCCAACTTGACTCGTTTGAAACCTGAACCAGAGACAACATAAAGAACAAGCAACCACAACACTGTGTGTCTTTTCATGTAGAAACAAGATATGATAACGATTTGTACAAAACAGTGTAAACCACCAATACAGGCCTGGAGATTAATTTTTACAAAATAATCTGAATTTAAATTGCTATATTAGTCAGAGAAATCACATTTATAAATTTCCCCTAAATTATTCATCCACAATCTTAAAAAAAAAGCAGAGTGAAGTTGCTCTTATCTGACTAATTTGATAAATTAAATAAACAACGACACACAGGGCTCCACAGGAAAGTATAATGTGGTTACTGACTTGGAAAAAACAACACTATGAATGTGAAGAGTCGTAAGTAAATACTAGACAGACACAGACTGCACATGTAAAGGGTTCAGGATTGTTGCCGAGCGCTCACCTTGAAGGTAGCAGGTCTGTTGTACTCGGTGTGAAACGTCCCATCTCTGTAAGAAACACCAGGCACAGTGCTCACAACACCAGGAATAAACAGTGAATAACATAACGCTAATATTTTCCAGAAAGCAGTGAAGCGTGGAAACGTGTCTGACAGCCAGCTGAGTTTCTGGTTACTCACTTGTAATGTAGCAGCTCTGCTCCGCCACGTTTGGAGCTTGGGTCCACCTTCACTTTCTTACACAGTTTACGACCCTCTGAATCTCTGAAAGAGAAAGATTAAAAAATGAAAACTCAGACTCTTACAATCACTTTGCCTTCACAGAACAATATGTACACTCATTAAAAAAAGTTGGAAAGAAAAGCAAAAGAAAATCAGCTCAGCAACTGGACAAAATGTAAAAAGGAAATTATTTCCTCCAAATATAAAACCTAAAACTTGAAATGTGTTATCTTTAAGTCCAAACACTAGCCCCAAATTTTAACTAAATACAGATGGTTATCACCAATTTGCTATTGCAACAGGTCATCATAGAAAAAAATTGGCATTTCTGCCTTTTCCTCAAACAAACTTATTTAAACTCTCCTGGTGAAACTGTTGACGTGACAGAACTAGTAGGAGATTATACCTTTGAATTTGAATATATATCTGCCTAAAGCTTATCATCTGTGTAAGTATCTTTTCTCATAAGGCATCATTTTTCAGTCTTCTTTATATAACACAAATTATTTTCTTCCCTCTGTTCAGTAACTGCTTGTTAAATTCATTGTATTATTCATGTATTCATTGTTTGTATTACGTACTAAATTATGTTGAAGAACATGCTTTGTAAACATATTTTTTGGTCACAATATTGTTGTAATAAAACTTTGCTGAAGTGAATTTATAATGGAGGAGAGAAGATGCCGCATGAAGACATAACTGCATTACCATTTCATCAGATCAATCTGACCACGTGTAGTATTATATAAACAGGGCACCCTGCTTCATTCATTAGCTGTGTGCATACACAAACACATACATCTGCAATGGGATGCAATGTTGATTATAACCCGTACTGCACAGTGTGTGAGCATACAGAGGATCTATGATGGGTAGAGGCTTATTTCTGTAATTGAAAAAAAAGGGCTGTAGTTGGAAAGGAAATAAATATGCATCTAGCCACCTACACATACTTCACACTTGATACAATGAGGCACTATCAGCAGCATGAAGTACAGTTCCCCTTCTGCAATAAAGAGCAAGGAAAATAAGCACTAAACTGGAGAGAGAGAAAGAAGGCCTGATGCTAAAAAAGTCAAAGAGGAGGAATTCAGTTATGGATCCCTAATATGTTTAGTGTAGTTTTGCAGTACATGAGGAAGAGTCAATCTGTGTGTGCATGTATTGACAAGACTATATTTCAGGTGATGACTGTGTGCTTAATGCTAAATACTGCTGACTCATAAAGGCAGATGGCACCAGTTGGGGCACACCAGGAGCAGATGTGACCTCGACACTTATTTGGACGCGCAGTCATCCGACTCAAAACCAGTCTGCTGCTGCTTCCAAGTCCCTCAAACACTGCCGCAAGTAACAAACTGTACTCAAAAAATCCCACCAAACTATCACGCCAAGGAGAACCCTAAACCAGGAACAATTAGAAGTAATTCCACCCAAAAAGATTTTTGTTATTAGATGTCATGTCAATTTTGCATGTGTACAGGGCTGGCATTAAATATGACAAGGTATTGTTAACTGGCACTTTTTGGAAGAATGTGAAGAGGCCACATGCCTGGCTATGGGCCAGTAGTTCGGCCTCTTACTCATTTGGTCATAAAGACACAGTCAAAATGACTCAAGGAAAAAGCTACGTGCCATTATGTTTCACTTTCTGTGAATCAACCAATGAAAGAGCAGCACTCTTCAATCACAGAACAAATGGAAGTCTACAGGAGTCAGAATGACTCACTGGGTAATGTTCAGTACAGGAAGAACAAAGGCCATGAATGGCAGCTCATCTGGATGAACACAACTGCTGTGCATTCCTCTCTGTGGCAACGTCACTCGATGCGTCAGCGCCAAAGCGCCAACGCTGGAGTGAGCAGCAGGTCTATGGCTGGTGAAGTAAGAAGGTGGTGATGAGACTCAAAGTACTCACAATGTTCATCTCATTTAGTTTTTCTCTTCAGTGTTCACTGAGGTCACAGGACACCACAACCTCATACAGCCTTATGTGACTTGGGTTCATACAGCACTGTCAGCAATTAAACTCACATGCCGTCTGATTCACTGGATGAACTGCGTCTTGTTTATTGATCATGACCTGCTAGAGTTTATTATGACTTTCTCAAAACTCTGGTCTGATTGTTTTTTTGCTTTGGCCCTTGTTGCTATTGCAACAATAAGCAAATAAGTAGCAAATGCAGAGAGTAAAATTATAACCCAAACTTTGAATTACATTTGGTGTGTGCTCACTATCGGTTGGACCAACAAATAAAGCGATATATAATATGGCTAAATTGTTGGTTTGTTACAACCAGTTGCTTTATCTGAATGATTGTGTTTCTTGTCCTGGGGGAACAATGTTGTTGTGTTCCCAGATCTCAGCAAGTACTTGCTAATCATACGGTTGGTTAATGATACCAGGTTTAATACGTTTTGACAAACCAGAATTATAGCACACCGGAGAAAAGGCCAAAACATGTGTGCTCTCTTTGTGACTCATTTACCAAGAAAAAATATCAAAAGTCTTTGAAGATTTGGAAGTGACCTTTTCTTGAACTTGTACATACCCAACTGGAAATTGCTTGAAGCGATGAGGTAGTTGAGCAGGGTTAGGGTTAGCCTGTACGCCTTTAAGTTTGAAGAATCATTGAAATAGAAAAACCAAAAAAACTTAAAAAAAAAAAAAAAAAAAACAAGTTGGAAACAACACTTTGCATTAGGCCAAAGTCAACAGAGTCCCTTTTGTGACGGATTATTAATGGATTCATAATGCAAAGAGGATGAAGCGCTGCATGCCATTTAATTATTACGCTTCCAAAACACAAATCCTAATCCGTGCTGTGATTGTTTGCTCTCTGCTATTCCCATTCATCCAGACAGGACCATGTTTCTTAGCATGTTCTATGTCCGTTCTACATTTTCAGAGGAATGGCAGCCAGGCAGCACAGTCCCTTCCTGTATGAGATCATCCATCCCTCTGGTGGATCCCAGTTGGCCAACGCTCAGGTCCCTGTCATCTGTTCAAAGTGTGTCATCCTGGCCTTGGTGGCCCTCTTCCTTGGCAGGGCCGACCACTCTCACGCTGCGATATGCGCTTCACTCTCTCTCCCCCCACTGTCCACCATGAGCTCTCAGCTGGGGCTTCGATTTGGAGCCGGTCCATTTGAGATGGTGGAGAAATATGCCACACAGCACAATGCTTCGCTATAGAGCCTGGCACCGGATCCATGAGTCCTGCAGTGATGAACCCGGCTCGCTCTAGCTCCCCTGGCAGGAACCTGGCCCTGTGTAAATCTCTGCTTAACGTTATCACAGTCTCTAGCATGCTGGAGTTGTTGGAAAAGACAGGGATGAAACCATACTCTCCCAGACAAAAACAGTGACTGAGTCTAAAAGTAAACAGTCAAGTACATCAGTATCATGGAGTGGCTTTGAAGACGAATGCGGACACAAACACTTCTGACAATTCTTCAGACCATTTTGAATTTCTCTTCCTCTCTATCCTCATGGTCCTCCATCCCGGATAAGCTTGAGAGAGATTGTGAATGGTGCTACGAGCACTAGGTGTCAAAGGGGAGTTACTGCCTTCCTCACAGTTTCCTGTTTTATGATACATTCTTTCCTCTCTGGTGAAGACGATGCTCCATGCCGCTGATGGGTTGACAGGTAGAAAAAAAAAATTAAATAAAGTAAGTGGAACTGAACACCAGGAAGGGCAGAAAGAACAACAAGCCAAAATCAGATCACTGGGGAGCAAAGCAAGCTGTGCTTTGAGGAAACAATTCCTGCTGGTGTCTTGGGAGTATCCAGCATTTTCTTAATGTAAACACTTCTGCAGTGTGGGCTGGAGGTAGATGTGCCCCAGAAGACAGATGACTGATAGTCAGTGTGTGGAGTATGTCAACATATGATTATTTCAATTTTATTGAATATCCGTAGGTTTTTCTCTTGATTAATCAATTAATTGTTAAGTGAAAAAATAGCGAAAAAAAACCCATTATGATTCGACATCTTCAAATTTCTATGAGCAACACACCAAAATATTCAGTTTAAAATGATTTAAACAAAAAAAACAAAACAATAAACAACAGAAAAGAACCAGCAAACGTTTGGCACTTTGACCTACTGTTGATTATCATATCTTTTAACCCCACTGGGCTGGGAATTGAACCTTGATACAATTTTGGTGAGTGCCAAGTACTGTGTCAAGCGGGGCTGAAGCTTATTAATATTTTAATTACTGATAAACCGATTAATGGTTCAAGGTGACATCTTCTAATGGATTGTTTTATCAGATTTCTGTCACATTAAACAAAGAGCAGCAGCAAACTTCATAGTTTAGAAGCAGCAACTGGAGTTTTCAAGCATCCTGTAGTATGTTTGTTATTTCTGCTTGAAAAATGAACTTCTAATGAATTTCTAATGTTAAACGAAAAAAGTTCTTTGTAGAAAAACATGTTTATATTTCTCAAAGCAAGGTATCCAAACAAAAACAAAAAAACTGCACTGTGTTAGAACTTGTATCAAAAATGTTTAAATAAGACCCATCCCTGCAATTGACTAATCATTTCAGCGCTCCATTCAAAACTGATGCCACTCATCAGTTCTACTTACATACAACCACATTTAAACTAACAGAAACTAAAAGAACAACATGAAAAGGAATGTTTCATGTTCATCACCAGAGAAGAGTCACTCATTATTAAGCCAGGACCTTCCTTATCAATCATTTATTTAAGGATGAAATGGACTATAAAGAAACCCAGGGGGAACTGAAATGGTATAAAGAGATGGAACACATTCTACCCAAACCTGTATTAGCTCCAATAATGAGTGGCCTCCTGTCAAATGGTGCCCGTACAATAGAACCACTGGAACAAGGCCATTTACAGCTCAGTGAAAAAGCCATAAATTGTGCAGATGGATGGCTGCAGAGACATTCGTGGGAAGAGTAAATTGCTCTGTCTTTATAACAGCTGTCACAAAATTCCTTCGACAATAGAAGCAGTAATGTTGTGAAAGGCACGGAATCAATGGGTGTGATAGAGAGAGAGAAGACGCCCTAGAATGTGTGTTTTTTTTTATTTTTTATAAATCATCCCATTACTTACCCACAGTTGACCCAGGCAATAGTCCCTTGGCCTTTTACTGTCTGGGCTACATCTGACAGCAGTTTCAGGTGGGAGTCCCCTGATGTAGCTAAAGACACAAAGAATAAACCATGGTCAGCCTTGTTACCAAAACCAAAACCGTTCAATAGCTGAGGACAACCCAGAGTCTCGAGACACAGAGGACACTGTCATGTCAAACACAGCTAAGTGGAATTGAGTTACAGCGGAGCTCAGTGTCTTACTAAAGCACCAAGTGATGAAGAAAGAGATCACTGAGTTTGGGTTAGAGGGGTGATGGAAGAGCGTTTTCTAATACCTTTCACTGGATGGGTTCAGGGAGGGGGCTTAAGTTACATCAGCTTTCAACATCTTACAATAGTGTGACTAAGCAGGAGATGGGAGGATTATATGGTGACACAAAGACTCTGCCACTGCGGAAGCAGACCAACTTCTCAGCAAAAAAGGGTGAAATACAGCAGCTGTGTTTTAGTGAATTATAGCTTGTATCTGTTGCATGCTGTTTACTAATACTACCATATAGTGAGCCATGATGAACATCAAGTATAAGCTCAGACAAGGACAACACGAGGGTTCATGATCACTGGAGATTTGCACAATTGACTGTGTCAGAGAGAAAATATGGCTGAGCTGTACAGTTAGCTCTCTGTGTTAGGAAAGAGGAGAAACTAGGGTGTAATAACCTGTACCAGCAACAACAAAACACACAGTGATATTACTGATTTTGATCAGATATGGCAAGCAAAGCAGATTCCTCTGACTAAAATAAACACAGTGTATTATTCTAGTCCTTGTGTAACACAATACATCATTTTTAAACTCTCCCAGAAACCCAATGTGTTTTATTCACTGCATAAAGACAACAATCCCTCCAGGACATGACTATATTTAGATTTTGGGGCACTGCCATGACTCCCCAGGGTCTAGCCTTGTACCGGGTGGGTAACGAAAACAACTGGCAATTCACTGTCAGTTTAATACCATGTGTGGAGCAGCTGAGGTGAGCATATAGTAGCTGGTGGATTACGTAGATCAGCTCATTCTAAAGGTTTGATGGGCGCTCACACGAGCAAAACTCAACGGGGACGTGACTAACTGCACAGGGTCAGAGGCTGGTGATGGGTGAGGAAGAGGGCAGGACTGTCTAGGGAGTGAATGTGATGTAGCTAGGAGTGGTCAGATAATTGGTTTGTGAGGAGGACATTAAGCCAGCCTGGCAGAAATCCTGCAATGAGGAGGGGAAACTTTGGTGTCTTCAGAGAAGCAATCGCTGCAGCCAGTGATCAATCAGAGGTACTGCTCAATACATGAAAGCCTTACCCAATGACCTAATGCTGACTGATCTGGACCATGAATTATGAAACAAATAAATCTGTGGCTGTGGGGCTCTGAGAGTCCTCTGCTGCTTACTGAAGGTTAGGAGAATCTTTTGAATGGAATAATTAGTAATATCAAGTAATATCCTTCCAGAAGCCTGCTGAGTACATTTCACTCCTTCTCAGAAATATGCAAATGAAAATGGAATTAAAATCTACTGGGGTGCATTAGGCGTTCGCTAATGGTTGGAAGAAAAACAAAAAGTTTTTTATAACTCTGCTTGATGCATTAAGGGTTTTAGCTTCTATTTAACAACAAATATTTCCAAATTCATTACCGAGACAGACCACTGTGATCATCACTGTAAAACCGCCTGCAGGCTAAAGCTGTATAAAACATCAATGTTAAATATATTTTAAGATACTGTGGTAAAATGCTTTTTAATTAATTATATGAGATTTGGTCTGTGCTGCTGCATCACTCTTATTTTAAAATGATCAAAGGAATTTTAAATTAAAGCAAAAAATTGTGACAATTAACCGCACTAATGTTGAATTAATGTTAATTATTAAGTTCTCTTCACACTAGCTATGTGAATGTGCCCATTGTGTTTGCATTCATAATGTTAGAAATGTTGGGATCATGCATGTAACTGCACTTACCCTCCAACATTTGGAGGAAATGGCACCTTACATCTGAAAGTCGATAGTTTCACTTCTCTGAATGAGAATGTTAGAGCAGCACATAACGTGAGAAGTAACAGTCAACAGGTATAGTCTGAATTATTTTGTGCCTCTTCTCCTGTTTTCATAAATCATGAATTTCTAAAAAAAAAAAAAAAAACTTAGCTGTTGGGATGTAACTGTGTGTGTCTTTCAAACACAACTAAAGGTTGTAGTGGTCACTGCTGCTAAATGGGTCATTTTGAACATGTGAATTTCACACTTACCTTTTCTGGTTACACTAAAATGATTATAATTATCTGTAATTATGCATTTGTGCAAGTTCAATGACATCAGCAATAATAGGACACATTGTTTTTCAGGAAATAAAAAAGTATGAAGATTTTGATCTAACAATATAATAACATAAAAATGTATAGTTAAATGGTATATTTTTCTAGTTATGACATACTAGCTAACATACTCTATGGGTATGAAACAACTATGATATTCATTATAACATCAAATGTTATTCAGCTTTCCAGCACTTCACAACGACCTCTGAAGTGACAGGCTAATTGAGAGTCATTGAGATACTACAAGCATTAGCATTGATCCATTACTATTGTCTGGTAGAACTGCTGTCCTCCTCCTTTGACAGAAACACTGGATGCTCAACCACGTCATTTATTCTACAACACGAGACTATACGTAGTAGCATAACACAACATCTGACAGCAAATTCTACCCAACAACAAGATAAATATTCTTTTCCTAATACCATCCCCTTTAACCAGGTGTATATTCTGGTAAAACCTAAAGCCTGATCTATTATCTACCTGTCTTTGTGTAGAGCACCAGGACGTTGGTTCTCGTCCTGAGAAGCTTCTTGAAGTCTTTGTGGTCGCTGACCTTCTCTACGAGAGGAGACACCTTCACTGCATCCAGCACCGGCAGCAGCCACACCTGGTGAGACACACATGTACAAACAACTGTTACCAATAGGGTTTTTTTTTTCCCAAGTAACTTCATCACTTTCCTGTACAGCTGCTCATATTTAGACATTTGAGCAATTTTGCTTGACTACACAGGAAATATAAAAATCAAATCCGAAGATTGCCATGAAATTTACAAGGTATATTAAAGCTCTCCAGAGGCTGACGGGTTCCTCCTTTCCATCTCTAAGTGTCATTAGCAGGATTTTAGTCTTGATCACATTAAGGAATTGACCATTTCTAGCAAATGATTAAATTTAGCAGAGACGGATAAAAGAATTTAAATCCCTTAATGAACACATGCTGTACATGTTCATGAACATAGTAATAGTGAAAAGAGTCAGATTATAATGGCCACACTGTATGTCGTGTGTTACTAGCCAGCTGGTACCCAAGCAGCCACTGTCAGTGAACCATAAATAAACCCGCTGATGCAATGAGATAATGCAAGTGCATCTTCAGTGCTCTGCCTGAACTGAGGCCATGCTGCAATTATGAAATGAATGACCATGTTCAGACACTTTCTTTAATCTCATTTTATAACACTACAGCAGTCCATGGCACTTGTTTATAAGTGCCATCAACAGTTTTTACTTGATATCTACACCGAAGTGGAAATAAATAAAACGCTCCAACATCGCATTTATATAATTACTGATTTCTTTTCACCTGCTCTGGCACAAACAAGACAGGATGCTGCTTGAAATACCAACCTGTATAAAAGGTGGCTTCAAAGACAGCAACAGGTGGGTACATCAGCATTATTAGTCTGAATGGCTCCTTTGACTTTCCAAACACTGCTAGTTGGGCTAACGGTGTGAAACAGCTCATATCAGAGACAAAGCTCATATTGAAAGGCTTGCACTTTAATCAAAGATGACTAAAAAAAAAAAAAAAAAACAAGACTGATTACACTCAAGCCATATGAAGGTAATTCCATGCATTCTAATTGTCTCTGTGCCATCACCATTCATTAAAAAGCTCTTCCTTTCTGCCTACAGAGAACAAAATTAGACACCAAACGCTGGCTGCTCACTCAGCGGATCCTGCCTGATGACTGATATCACCTGGAATGAAAACAAACACCTGTCAGGCTCATTCTATAATTTTAATTCCCAACTGGTTGCTCTTTTGAGGTGAGTCTGATGGGAATCTCAAGACACCACACTGCACAGCAGTAAATTTCAAAATTAACCGAGAAAACCATGGACCTAGAAAAGGATGAGCAGACAACTTAAGTGCTGAGTTGGGTATATATACTATGTATGTGAGGTAAATAATCAGTCTTTCTAAGTATTATTCGAATTAAGCTGGGCTGTTGATCTGTGTTTACTTTGTCACTTGAAGTCAGTAAATGATTCTGATTAGGTTGATGTGACGACAAGATAAACAGAAACTGCGTCAGGATTCAGTTCAGGACCCACGGGAACCACAACGCCAAGGGTGGGCTAATTCTAGGCTGGCCAGGTGACACTTGTCAGCACAAATGGGCATTCAGTGGTTATGAGAGGGAGGAGCTGGGGGCAAGATTAGGAAGAGATGAGATGAGATGGCAGGCTGTCGTACTTATCCATGTGAGACAGGAAATGCGACAGGCTATTTGATGGCCTGCTAGAAGGATTAAAATGACGAAAACTGAGCAGGAGTCTTAATTAACCACCCAATCTCTCCCTACATAGTGACACATTTACTGCTATTGTCTTTCTGGTACAAATTCTGACAAGCTTACATACATTAACATTGTAAAGGTGACCTTATTCTGGTCTAAGCACAGTATGTTTCTCTGAGGAACACTCCAGTGACATTTTTCTGAATACTCACCTCCTGTAGGCTTGAAAGGCGGCTCTGAAAAGTGTGCCGCTTTCCAATTCACAGAAATTACAAAAGGGACCCAATGGTGACCCAGAGTCACAGCAAAAAATTTGTCAAAACATATAAAAAACCATCACAAACCACTCCAGAGGTATCACCACTTGTGTACCACTGACCCATCTGTGCTGAGTATGTTTCAAAGAATAGTTTCTCCAGAAAATCAATAAATACTTTATGCTGCATGCAGTGGAACTTAGGAGCTATGAGGAATGTTTTGCAGACGTTTCAACATGTTTTGGTGTGACTCTGACTCACCTTTGGAATCCTTAATAACTGTATCCAACTTTCTTTACACCTTTAAACCTTCCAGGCTGCGAATGTTTGAAACTCTAGAGACAGATTCTTGATGGCGTTTCGCTAGTTTGGGTTTTGTGGGCAACACAGTGACTCGAGAATGTTAGTCCAAGTTAGTTCAGAAATATAATCATCTTTATAAAGACATTCTCATCAAGGGATTATTTAGCTTAATATACATAAAGATCAACTTGTTAAAAAATGTTTTTTTGTAAAATGCTGTTTTTTGCATGACGCCTTTGAAGAAATAAGTAGTGCTGATAGTGTTTTGAACTGTCAGCCATGGGTTGCATACAGTATTGAACAGACTGTGAGCTGAATACTGGTTATGCATGAATCTCAAAAAAAAAAAACCCATAAGTAATTACTTAGTTCCATTAATGTGCAAACAGATGCATTTCTAAGTATTTCCTGTAGCATGAAATATACTGACGATACCTCATACCTACAGTCGAGGCAGCTGACAATAACACAAATGATGTCGTCAAGCCAACACTGCCGATGATCGTGATATGATGCGAGTCTTCCACCAACTGAAGCACGCGTCATCTTTCAGTAACAGATGCTCAATAATAGAAATAACTAGACTGTGCTGACAGTTTCCCAACAAAGCGCTGTAAGTGACAGGCCTATTGAGAAGCAGCATTATACTGCACTGCTGACGATTTAGGCTGGAGTTTTATTACAATGATGCACACGCACAGGCAGCTAAAATAGAAAACATGAGCAGTGTTATGAAGAGTGTATTCAGATAATGTGAAGGGTGCAAGTAACAAAAATTAAATTGAAAATAAAAAAATTTAAAAAAAGCTGTGATAAGAATCTGAATTATCTGTTGAGTGCTGGTGCTCCCCTCCCCTCTTTTCTAGGGCTGCTTGCCTTCTACAATAAGTGGCAATTTTTCAACAAGAACTGCAAATGATAAATGCAAGTAAGTGATGATAGACTACAACGCACAACTCCATTTTTATCAGATCACAGCAGTCTTAATCAAAAAACTTGTCTAGTTATCTTGTAATAGTTCAGTTGACATTCACTTTCATCATATGGGTTTTTTTTTTTTTTTTACCCATGTCCCTCACTTGAGGAGACGAGAGGATTCTTTTAAATCTTTAAAAATAGATTCTTTTTAATTCTTTCTCCCAAGTTTAAGAGTGTAAAAGTTCTCAAATTCGAATAAATTAAACAAAATGCAAAAATAAGTATTTTACCTTTCAAGTAAAATGGTGACCTTTCAAGTAGATTTTTGAATATCTATTCAAAACTTCACATTCATTGCTATTTATAGTTCGCTGTATGTTGTTCCACTTAAAGCTCTTGTAATTCATGAAAGCTGCACAATAGATCAACTTCTAGTGGAGGGAGCACAGTGGATACAGTACAAGAAAAAAAACCCAGCATATTCCTGAACTCAGTCTTTTACTTAGTGATGATAATGATGTCCTGTTTCTATGGATTCAAGGTTCAGCACAGTTCAACAGTTAATTGTGTGAAAAAAAAAACACAAATGGCACACTTTCATTGTAATTTTCTCACACCAACAACCCCACTGACTTTCACAGCACAATCTGGGATGATGGCTGAAACACATATATGCAGCTTCATGTGTATCAATAGGGGCATAATAATGTTTTCTTCCCTTGAATTGTTAATAACTGACCCTCATCACCATCAGCAAGTGGGATGGCAAGGTCCATGAATACATGTACTCTGCAGCCTACTGTGATCCATTATTAAGACCTGATGAGTAAACGGGCAAAATTAGAAACTGCTTTAAATGGAACATAAGACGATCCAGCACCTGCAAGCAGCACATGATCTGAAATCAGTGATCTAAAATAATGACAAATGCACATTAAGAGTAAATGCAATGTCCTTAAATTGGCTAATCAATGGTAAAAGATTTTGAAGAAATATATAAATAATATATATATATATAAAAAATATATATGTCTTAACTAGGCATCTGAGAAATTGAAAAATATCTGCATATGAATGAGAATATGTGTTGCTGGAACATTGCTGGACAGTTGCTGGATATTTTAAGCCTTAATACTGTCAAAAGATGCACTGATTGTGAAATATAAAAAAGCAAATTGAACAGATTGTTCTTGTTTCAAGTTGGTATGAAAATGAAAAAGTTTTGACATTACAGTTCCCATCATATGGATGGAATGCATGCTAAGGCTGGTAATATCATTTTATAGCAAAAGTAAAGCATTATGTTTGTAATTCCATCCAAAAGTAATAGCAAACATTGTCTAAATCTTGATAATAATCTACAACTAATTTTATTGTCAAAAGAACTGACACATGTCCATGAGTTACTAAAATCCACAGAGTTAAGATGTATGTATCGTTCAGTTAGATTTACTGTAGGTTACAGAGTAGAGTTTTAGGTTTGCAAAGACCTGGTGACTTGAGGACATCTGCCCCCCCCACCCCCCACCCCCCCA